CCCCGCCGGTGTATTGTTGGAAAATGCCTTTACCTTTATTTTTTGTGTGGTTTCTATTCTTCGGTTTACTTTGTGCTTAGTGCTCTTGCTCGATTCATCTTCTCGAGTTTTGTATGCGCTCAGCAAATATTTTCATTTCATATTTCACATCATTGTCCTTTTATTTAACTTTTATTTGCACTGTTGGTTTTGACTTTTTTGCCTCCACCGGCGCGTCGGTAATCCATCGATGTACATACATATCTGCACAATTCAACTTCTTCTTCTTTCCGATTTCCTCACTATCTCCTGCACTTTGCTCTTTTCCTGTTGTGTACCTGCAGCCAAGAAGTTTGCCAAAGGCGTTACATGGATGCATTCCGTCGTTACAATGCTGAGTTCCGCAAGGAAGTACAACAACATGAAGTCATGCAACCGACTGCCATCGATGCGATGCGTGTTCACAGGTATGTATTTTTCATAGTAGATTGGATAATTTTTACAAGGTAAAAATAGTATTTGAAGTATTACAAATGCAAATAATAATTTGAGCAGAGAACTGCTGTAGGAAAATATGTCAACATAGTGATGAAAAATAATCTACATACAAATGCGGTCTTTTCAAGTGCTATTGAGCTTTAACTATACAACGATTTGATTCTTTAGAAAATAGCAACAAAGTCTATCATTTTTGAGCATATTTAAATGAAATGTTGTTCGTTGGTAAGAGCATCACCGAGGAAGGGCTGCACCCACAATACTAATTTTTGTATAACACAGTTTGTAGTAGTCTGAGTAAGATACTTATGGTGAGAATATTTGGAGAAATTATCTTGAAAATTAGAAAATTTTGGTAAACTAGATTCGTCTTTTAATATACAACTTTTGTACGAAATCAAAATNCTCTTTATCTAAACGCGTAAGTTGGCAATACTTATAAGTTTTATTAGATACATACTCCTGAATTGTACAATATCCTACACACGTGCCTGGCTTAAGCCGCTTTCATTTTATAAACTTAGGTATAATTTTTACCAACCCAATAAACTCTGAATTAGAAAACAACCAAGAAAAATCATGACTCAAGAACTCTGTTCAAGGTCCCATTTGGTTCATATTCCGTAATTATATGAGTTAGTTTACACACAAGAAATAGATTTACAAAAAAAATAGTGTGAAGATCCCATGCGCAACTGAAGTGATAGTTCTTCTCTCTCTGTTACCTGTATTAGTATATTACCAGTGAACCCACGTGCAGCTAAAACGCCAAAATTTAATTTGATATTTTAAACAGGTGGCAGCACTCTTAAAAACCGGGAAAAAAATAATGCAAATGTTGGTCAGAGTTATGAGCGAGCTGTGTGCCAATTTGAATCTTAATCCTTTGAGTCGTTTCTGAGGAAAAGAGGACAAGTCTCGCATGGTGGTGCGGTTACTCTAATTTCAAATCACCCTGTCTCGATAAAAAGTCCTAACTTCAAAAAATAAAAAAGTTTTTCATATCATTTTTGAATTTGAAAGGAATGGTGCAGATTTGAAGATTTTCATAAAAAATATATGTATATAGTTAGATAGATATGTCATTTCGAATACGTGGCAACCCTAATCAATAGTATTTTAAAATTAAAGCTTTCATAAAACTGCTTCGTTTGACACTCATATTTAAATATATTATATATGTATGTACACATCTTGAGTATAAATTAGAAACAATGAACTTTTCTTAAATATTTTTCTTCTGACATTGGTATCAATTAATTCCTGAATTAATTTGAATTTGATTTTTCAAATACGTGGCAACCCTTCTAAGTATAGTTCAGGTATTAAGCCTTTACAAACGCATTTCGTTTGACGTCCATCTTGATGATTCACTTAACTTATTAAATAATTTGAATTTACCTTTTTGAACTGGTGGCAACCCTCTTCAAATAAGCTGAAAATATTTTTAATGTTGAACTTAAGGCTTGCTGCATGTAGTTAAGAGAAATAAAGTCTTTTCTAAAACATTTCGAATGATACCCATATTGAGATTACGAAACTTTGAAACACAGCGTGGAAGACAGAGTAACTACTCACTAGGAGTAGTGATTAAGTTCTTTAGTAAACCACATACCCCTACTCGGCTACCTTGATCGGTCTTGGAGACATCAGCATACATACCAAATATGGCGCCGGGGTTTTTGGCCATTCATTGTCAGGATTATGATTGAAAATATACCACGGAAGGCACAAGTCCCCCACAAAGCCAATGCTCCGTTAATCTATAATCCTTAAAATGGATGTTTGTACTAACTTCTAGTGCAATTTTAATGATACTGAGAACTAAGAGCAAACAAAATTATTTACTGAGCGCTCAACCCACTCAAATTAAAGAATATTCACTACTTTTATTGCTTTTGCCGCAAATAAAAAAATCGGTCAACTCACTCCTACAAAAGCGCTACTTAGCCCTCTGAACACTTTCTCGATACTTTGTAAAGTTTTGAAACATTTGGAATCGACACCTTCACAACGAAAAACAAAGGAATCCTCAGCGAGTTAAACTAACTGCAATCCAACACCGCTAAAGAGCGAAATACACCACACAAGCGGTTTGACAAACCAAGCGAAATTTCCCTTTGCTTCAAGCCATTTGTGCTGTGTATGGGGGTGTTTGAAGGTTTGACAAACCGCCGTCAAACCTTCAAACACCCCCATACACAGCACAAATGGCTTGAAGCAAAGGGAAATTTCGCTTGGTTTGTCAAACCGCTTGTGTGGTGTATTTCGCTCTTAAGTATTTCCTTTAACCTTTGCGTTGACCCTCTTAGCTTAATTCGCTTTTAACACCAAAAACTGAAGCGCCAAAAAGGCTATTTTGCAGCCAAAGGTAAAAACAACAATCACCGCTTGCTTGGTTTTTGTTGTAGTGTGGCAATTAACTATGTATATGTAACATTTTCTAACAAACGTTGAGGTACACACACTTTTGTAAAACAACAACAAAAGCAACAAACTGAAGTAGCATTTTAAGCATATTTGACATATTTTAATACTCGAAGCTAAAACTAAATCGGAATTTTTTGTACTTTATTCACTTCGCAGAACCTTCGCCATCACAACACTTTGGCCGCCATTGCACTCGAAGCGCGAAATCAACCTGACACTGGAACAATTGGAGAATGTTTTGAGTGTCAAAGAACGACGTCGCTTAGAGGAGATACTCAAACGCGAAACAAAGCGTAGATAAAATGACAGTGAAGCTGAATTGGTAATGTGGTAGTACTGGCTGGATGGGAAGGAGGAAGGGGGCGGAATGGAAAACGTTAAATCAAAAAGTAATGGATGGAAATGGAAGAGAAGTGATTATCAGGTAGCGGTTAAGTAGCAGATGTCGACGAAGGTAGCTTCCATAGAAGCAGATCGCATTTCCAATCGTTGATATGGTCAGAAATGTAATAGGAATTCCGATTTGTTAAAGAAATATGTATGCAGAGAATTAGAAGCAATTTGTTTTAAGTTAAATTTCTAGAGCAAAGGGAACTTACAGTTCTGGCACAAGAATTAGTGTATTTAATTAAAAAAGCTTTAAAATTAGGAGAACGAAGGTGGTCGCCTACGCTGATGACTTGCCTATACTACTTTCCAGAAAATTCTTGCAAACAAAGATTTAGCTGATGGAATCAGCACTGGAGAGTGTTTCCAACTGAGCATAAAACAAAATGGCTAGAAGTTCACCCTTCCAGAATCGAACTTGTCTCGTGCACAAGGCAAACAAAAAAATCCGGAATTGCCCTACACAAAGCTGGACGGGACTAGTCTGAACCTTTCCTCCGAGGTGAAATATTTAGGTATTATCCTTGACCCCAAACTAGCGTAGAGGCGCAAAGTAGAAAAATGAGCAAAGAAAGATCTCGCAGCGTACTATACCTGTAAAAGGGCTTTCGGGAAAAACTGGGCGCTGTGACTGCACATCACTCATGCTATGTACACCACAGTTATCCGACCGATTTTACCCTATGGAGCGCTGGTCTGATGGAAAGCACTGGATAAAAGCAGCGATCAGAGAATAACTGGAAGAGTGCAGAGACTCGCAAGCCTCGGTATATCAGGTGCCGTGAGAAGCGCACCACAAGAACGACTGAACATGATGTTTTACTTGAAGGGCCCTTAGATTGGGGGAATCAAAATTCGTATGGGAGGGGTTTTTGTTGCGAGGAATTCGAACTTTCCATTGTATTTTCGATTCGACAAATACTTTGTACAGCTTTCATGCAAAACAAATACAAAAATTACCGAAAACCGCCAAAAATCATTTTTTTTTTTATTGAGTGTTCGACTTTCGCCTGCCTTCTTGCGGCTGCTAGGACCTTATTCATTCATTACCGCCCTTACTGGGACCTCTGCAACGTTTAAAATAGTGCCGAGCATTTCTGCTAGCACTACAAGCGACATATCATCAGCCAAACCCGCGACACTAAAACCTTCAGGGACCGGCAAGCGCAATATACCGCCATACATTATGTAGGGGTCCCAGTACAGATCTCTGGATGAAGCCGCGGATGTTCGATATTTTCAGCTGCTCTATCTCCTACAAGCTATTGAAAAAACGTGATCCCAAATGCTTGAGACGCCTTGACCAGAGAGCTAGGATTGACATAAGAAGTGGTGAATCCATTCCTCCTCATCCTCATCCCGACAACTTCCGCAGAGGTAGCTTTTTGGTATATGCCATCGAGGAGGCATTGAAGCTATATCACAGTCATTGGTCATTTTACACAGGCGTATTAGTTACGAGAGGATACCAGATTCAGATGTCGCGGCATATATGTAGATAACTTCTTTTTGTGCTAACCAATGCGGATATGAAATCGACAAATAGATAATGTACCGATACTATTTCCAGAGAGTCTTCTAAAATATTTGGCGTACTGTGAATATCTGGTCTATCGTGGCCTTTCCAGTTCTTAGCCCACACTGATAAGGCCCAATAAGTAGACCGGTGGGCTTTAGCCTTTTACACAATACGCTCGATAGCTTAGAACGCTGATCCTGCGGTAGTTGACGTATATTACGGGGTCGCCTTTCTTGTAGATTGCAGAAAGCACTTAAATGCCAGCCTTCATCAGAAAATATTCTGAAAATGATCGAGATGTTGAAGAATCTCGCTTTCTTTGTGGCTAGACGCTCGTCCAACGGAGTAAACGGCAGCACTTGCTCCTTCACATGTCAGCTCTAGTAGACGTCGCATGGCCCTAGGCATTTAGTGCCTTGCCGCGTCCGTCGCATTTTTTTTTTTGGATGGTGGTGATGTCAGCTTTTATTCTTACGAGGATATTTACCAGCCGGACAGAAGCCCTTTAATCGTAGTCCTTTAAACGGTTTCCGCAGTCTTCATCAAAAAGAAGGAATCTTATCCGAGGCATGGTATATATTTTCATTGGGAAGCACTTTTCACGTGGCGAGTCCCAAAACCAGCGCACGCAAGGTCTCTCGTAATCAGAAGATACGTGGATATAAATATCTGGACACGCCTGGTCGCTCCCTGTTGAATGGCAGTCAGAAGCTTGCTTCACTTACGTGCACTTCTAAGCACGGACCCCTCCTTCACGGGTCTACTTATAAGCTTTTTGAGTTTAGCGTGCGAAAAGAGGTTTGGTGTACTTTGTCTCTGGAAGTTTGCCCGGCAAGATTGCTAACAAAACCTATGCAGATCAAAGTTTGCTTTAATATGTTGGTAAACAAAAGTTGAAAAAAATCGTGGAAAGCTTTTACGAAATAATGACAATCTCAATTTAAATAAAACACATATGGAAAATGATCCCGTAAAAGTCCCGTACTGGCCTATAGAAAGCCCTGATCTAGTCCCGAACTAATTCTGAACTACTCCCGAACTAGCCCCGAAATGATCTAGAAGGAAGGCTAAAGATAGTTGAAGAAGTTTGCATCTCTATAGAACTTTGGGCAGTTGCAGGTAGCACGAAGAGTTACAACTTTACTTCATAGTATAAACGCCATCACCTTCAACTAACTAACCTCATCCTGATAGCCCAAGCTGGCAGCATATTAACTTGATTACCCATTTGAAGAAATTAACTTTGTTGTTTCGTTGTTTTATGTATTTGAATAGGAATCACCTTGCGCATTCCCACAAAGATATGAAAAATAACAAAAAAAAGAAAAAAAAGTGAACAGCGCAAAGTGTAGGCTGCTTTGAGAAAAGCGTGCGATTTTGAAAAAAAAACTGTTGTTTTATGGTTTTCACCGAGTACACCCAACAAAGTATAAACAAACAAAGTAACCACCAAACAATACACCAATTATGCGCCGCCCCAACCGCCAACACCACAGCAGCAGTGTTTGCCCAATAACCGGCACAGTGTTGTTGTTTGTGTTGTACGATGGTCTGTGAGAGGCGGTGGTGGTGGCGGTTAACGCTTGAATGAAATGTAAACAAAATGCGTAAATATTGGCAAAATGCTAACATTCCACAGCCGCTGTTTGTCGACATTCATATTTTCTTGCAACGTTGAGAGGAAATAAAATTTCTGAAGAGGCGAAGTGGGAAAGTTGAGGTGGAGCGAGATCCGAATAGATGTATACGAGTGTGCTGGGTTGAATGAGTTACGCATAATGTTTGAGTTTTTATGGCTTGGCGCTTGTTATGATTAAATTTTTCTGCTTCAATGAAGCTTAAACGGTAAAACAACAAAGACGACGAGCCGCGTCATCTCTGCACTGATGTGTATTGCAAAGGTTGCACATTTTGTTTTTGAGTTCTCGAATTAATAAGGTATGTGTTTGAAGAATTTCTCTCGTAGAGTTTTTCGACGATATTTTTGCCGATTCCTGTACTGATTACCATTGGTTGCAGACGTTGTTGCCACCTTTGTTATGAAACATGAATGCATGCGTGCATGTAAATATCTCCAGCCATCGTCTGAACCCTTTGGCGATTTTATCCCTGCTGCCACCTTCCCAATTTATTTTGACCAGCTTATTTTGTCGCTTGACGACGTGCTGGATAGTATTTTGCATATTAAGCCTGCAGATGGTTTCTCATCCTTCCTTTTTAAAAATTGTTCCACCTTTGGGTATCCGCTATTATTAATTTTAAACAGGTCATTAGGAAATAATCTGAGAATTGATCAGACTGTCCCGAATTGATCTGGAAGATAGGCACATTAGTTTCTATGTAAAGGGTTTCCTCTAAGAAATCTATCCCTGATATGTCGGTGTACAAGTATTTCCATGGTTCTTAGTAGAAAGGAGGTAACACTGATGGGTCGGTATGACTTTGGATGGTTCGGATTTCGGATTCGGATGTTCGTGAAGGATCCGTAGGGTCTTTCCACGAGCGCTTATTCATTAGTGTGCGTTTTATCAAGAACTGTGACCATAAATGAGTCCATGAGCCTGGCAGGGGAATCAAGTTAATATTTTCGAATGACCTGGAGTACCCCGTAAGGCATCCGCTTCTTTTTCTTGTCATTTTCCAACGCGAAGTCAGGGGAGCATCATACAATGCATCCTTCGGTTGACTGCGGTACTCGCCAACTTCGATATATACGGTTCGAAATATACGGTTACCGCCTTCTAATGCTAAAGATTGATCAAAAAACGTTTATCCTGAACGATATTATCCACCGCAGGTGCCCTTCCAAACAGATAACCAATTGCGCTTTCAAAGGAGGCCAATCAGGAATGTCATTGCCCGTCAAGACGGATTCTATCTTCATGTTCATGTGGGCATCCAGAGTCACCGATAACCAACACTTTGGGTTTCAGAATGAGGCCCGAGGTATTCTTCGTTTTGTAACATTAACCTAATTACATTCTTCTCTATTCGATATCCTCTGGTTAAGAGCTATGCGGGGCATAGATAAGTATGAGCTTAAGAATGCCAGAACCAATCTCTATGGAGGTTAGGGTTTTCCATTATCTTTATAGGCAGGCCAGGTATGGTAACCTTAACATCTTTCATTCGTCCTCGGATAAGGCGCTGTTCTCTCTGATGCGCTCAATTTCGCCCAGGACAAGGAAGTTCGCCTTTTTATCGTCTTCCCTGAAAAAATTTATTCAGGTCGCATTAAAGACCTCTACATTTTGTATGAATCGTACAGTACATTCCAGCATTTTAGTGTCGATGCGGCGGTTATCATGAAAATGGTCCCTGGACAGATGCGAAGTTAAGGGCTACCTGTCAAAGCATC